GGGACAGTTCCAGATAGCCAAATATCGTGAATTAGCTCAGTAAGGTAAGTTCTCAGATAAGGACAATGCTTGAAACTTATTATAGAAAGTTGATCAAGAGGGCAAGGAGAACCAGACGATTTCATTTTGCGTATAACATTTGTAATTTGTTGATAGGTCGGGGGGTCAAGGTTAAATTGAACTGCAGGATCAGATAACTTTGGGATCCAGCTGGGAATTACAAATAGCTTGTTAGGATTAATTTTAGCCAGAGATTTAGAGAAATAAGAAAGGCAATCAGTCATGTTAAATGATGGTAATACTGCGTCTTTTCTATTGATTATATTTTTAACATAGCCCCAAAAGCTTCGTTCCAGATATTTGTTGTGATCAAACGACTCACTGTCATTTAAGTCATCGGCGTCGTTGCCATTGTTACGGAGCCTGTCACGCAATGTACGCGATACGTATTTAATTTCACTGAGTTCACCCTTTTTGGATTTTAAATTTTGTAAAGCTTTCTTTAACTCTTTAACCGTATACTCTTTATATTTAGCTCCCATATTTTTGTCGGGTACAGTTTCAGTATGTCCATAATTATTTGCAAAGTAGCTGTATATCGCGTCATTTAAAAGCTTGATTTTTGAATTTAGATCTTGCAATGTGATTGGATCACTTGGCTGGAGTGCACATTTAAAATAATCATTAGCCGTTGACCATTCAGAATCATTTTTCGGGAGATTTATGCCTTTCTTCAGTTCAGGAAAATTATCGTAATTAACTGTATTAATATCATTGCCGTTGTGTTCAATTTCTGAAATATTTACGCTGTTATCCGTAGTTATTTGCTCCTCAAGATCTGCACAAAGCTCGTCGTTAAGGCCATGTATCACTTGACAACTGCGCTGATGCATTTTAAGGCCGCGCGTCCCTTTGCATATCTTGCCACAACAACATTTGACAACCGTGCGACTTGACACAGGAACATTAGGGGACTGCATTACAGGCACTTGTCTTGTAGTAGCGTCAGGGGGATCTCGTTCTGCTTGGTTAATCCGCTGTTTACAACGCCACGAATGGCGACCGAGCGCGACGAAGTCTTCATCACAAAACGAACAGACGACGCAAGTCAATAACATGGCAACAAAACTTGAACGAATCATGATGATGATCTTTTTATGATTATAAATTTTAACAATTAGTAAGAAATACTGTGATTCAAATACAAAACCAGCGATAAAACTATGACATGTATAGAGCACGTCTGAACACGGCTCTGCTCGATGTATCTAATAAAAAAGAAAATCAAATAATAATAATAATAATAATAATAATAATAATAATAATAATAATAATAATAATAATAATAATAATAATAATAATATAATAATAATAATAATAATAATGATTTTTTTCTTTATGCACTTACAATTAAAAATCTCACTGTTAAAGGTAATTTACAATTGGCTACTTGATACACTATACATTACTACATTTACATAACACATATGGTCATAATTATATGATACAAAAAGCAACAGACTAACTACAAGTTCATTAAATCTGGATTCGACCAATCCTTGTTTCTACAACAGAAAACGTAATATGTGGTTCTTATTGCAATGTTAATAATTTTCCTAATGGCATATTTAACACAGGACTTATCTGAGTTCAAATGTTCCAACATTTGTATAAAATCTGACGATTCTTTTTCAAAAACACCGAGTGCACTGATTGAGAGGTTAATGAACTTTACCAGCCGCAATTTTACCTTTTGTTCTACGATCATCTGACTCTTTGTATTTTGAGTATTTGCGCTGTAGATTATTCCTTAGCTCAGTCTCATATCCAACGGTTAGTTCGAGTACATATAGACAATTGTCTTTGGTCAAAATTAGTAGATCAGGACGAAAGTCATCGCCAGTAATAGCAGAGGGGTTAGGGAATGATGGTAAGTCAGCATAAATGGTCTGAATATGTTCTGATTGGAGGTTATTAGCAATAAAATTTTGGAATGAGTCGTGTCTCCAAGTAAATCGATCAAGATAGCTAGGAACTACAGCCAGCAACAACGTGTAACAGAGATTCCGGTTTAAAGGCAAAACGAGCACTCAGAGGACGAAGAGTCCCCATTTTTGAAGGTTTTTCCGGGTTGGTAGCGAATTGTTTATGTAGCGAGTAGTGAATTGAAAATGTTTTTTGGTAGTTTGGATTGCCAGGTTGGCCAAATCGAATTTACTTGGAGTAGTGAAAGAAAGAGTAGAGAAGAATGAACCTTGACATTTTAACCGATTTTCCAATTTATCTTCATGAATTTTAAGGCATGACTTCATTACTACTTTTGTCGACGTATACTTGATCATATTGGATGTTAGTATGATTACAGGTCGACTTCCAGAGGTGGGTTATTGATTCGTTAGGAGATGACTTCAAAACACTGCGGATAGTTGTTTGACATTGTATGAATTTAGTTGATGGGGGGATAATGTACAGACCAAATGTGTTACTGGTCAGGTAAATGTTACTAAGTGATCCAGAAATAGGTACCTCAAGCCATTTACGAATGTATTGTTTGATAACTGAGTCCAGGTTTTCGGAAATCCACGTTTTTCGAATTGATGCTATAGTGAAATGCCATGAGAGTTTTGAAAGAACGTAGCGACTGTAGAGGAGAATCATGTTTTTTGGATGTAATGCCTTCAGATCTATTTCTTTCATTAGGTCTGTCAATAGTGATACTAATTCCGATTTATGTTCATTATTTGTCATTTCGTAATTAAAGTACCTTCCTAAATAGCAGAACGATTTTCCACTTTCAATAGCTGGAATTATAATTATAAATATACTGGACTGATTTGGTGAGAGCTTTTTTTATGCCAAAGGTGCTACATTTATCTTCTCGAATAATCATGTCTGACCATTGACACCAAATTGCAAAACTGTTTAGTAGGTGTTGATTTTCAGATTCTTGGCGGTTATTACGGCTGCGTCGACGGCGAACTGGAACCAATGAATTGGGTTGAGAAGTTTATAAGAAAAATCATACTGTTGATATTTTTTCCGATTTTATGTGCTGGATAAAAGTATTAAAGCATAGGTTAAATAGCAATGGACTGAGGAAATCTCCCTGCAAACTCCACAACCTACTTCTCCAAATGGGGTGTTAAAATCAGATGTGATGATTGATGTTTTAAAGTTTGTGTAAAGGCTTTTAATCATGAGTTGAATATGTTGAGGTATGTGATGATAGCCAAGAACAGGTTGGATTAAATTGTGATGTACTTCACCAAACGCATTCTTGAGATCAAGAAGGGTTATAACGAGAGATCGCTGTCTTATTCGTGCTTGATTGATTATATCAGCCATTTGTGCTGTATGTTCAAATGTCCCCGATATATGAGGGGTGAAGCCCTTTTGAATTTCGTGCTCGATAAAGTTGTTGGCGAGTAGGTAAGAGAACATTGCATTATGAAGACTTGAAGTGAATACCTTCAGTGGTACGGATTGAAGAGTTATTGGACGGAAGTTCTTGGGGAGATTAGCATAATTTTTCTGGTGGATTAATAAAGTACAAGCTTTCTTCCATTCGTCAGGTAAAGATCCAGCAAGCCAGACTGCTTGAATTAGTTCGGTTAAATATGTTCGGAGGTATGGGCAACGCTTAAAACTTATAATGGAGATTTGATCTAGAGGACAAGGTGAGCCAGATGTTTTCATTTTACGAATAATATTTGTTATTTGTCGGTACGTTGGAGGTTCAAGGTCAAATTCAATAATGGGATCATGTAACATTGGAATCCATCTTGGAATTTGAAATATTTTGTTTGGCTTGACCTTAGTTAAGACTGTGGCAATTGATACACCAGGCGGAAATCTTAGTTTAAAGATAAAGAGCAGAGCCCAGCAAATAACTTTAAATCCAAACATAATAAAAGTAAAAAATTTATTAGCTAACGTTTCGTTGTTTACAAGACAACATCCTCAGAGCAATCTAAATGAATTTACAGGGTATGGTATATATATTTACGAAATAATGGTTTGATATTACAAAAACGGTTACATAGTTTGAAAGAACAAATGAATAGGGAGAAAGGAAAACAACTATCTGTGACTAGTTAATAAGTTAAGATTAATGTATGGTTAGTATAGTAGGTTAATATTACATAACTAAAATAACTCAAGAGGGGTAGATCTAATATTAGCATTATGGACAGGGTTAAGTTGATTAATAGGCTTTCACGGATAAGAAGATCCCACTCAGAAGTGCCTGATGATAGGATTTTGAAATCAGAAACGGAGACTGGGTGTTTGTGCATGTGTTTGTGAGCGAGTATACCAGACATGGTTGAGATAGAGCGTTCTTTTCCAGTCAAAGGCGAGACTCCCATATGCTCTGAGATACGTGTGTGAATGTGTCGGCGTGTTTGGCCAACATACAATGCGCTACAGCATTGACACGTGAACTGATACACAACATGTGATCTCAGGGCAATGGGAATCCTGTCTTTAAATGGAAAGAAACTAGAAAGGCGACAGGAGGGACGGAAAACAACACGTATAGAAATATGTGGATACACAGAAGCAAGAACTTTACTAAGTTGTGAACGGATATGTAGACCATGATGTCCAGTGAAAGGAAGGCAAAAGTAAACAATTTTCTTGGAACATGTATGGACCTTGTCCTTAGTGTTGTAAATCCTGTCGGGAAATGTCTTAATGCAACTATCTATAAGTGCTTTAGGATAACCATTGGAAGAAAAATTTTCTTAAAATTTTCCATTTCAGACTGGAAAGATATGTAAGAAGAACAAATATTGAAATATCGAGATATAAGAGAGAGGAGGAGACCTTTTTCGTACATCATTGAAATAAAGCTATCAAAGTTTGTGAATAAGCCAGTTGAAGTGCATTTGTGATGGACTGAGGTCGTGAATGAGCCGTTTGAACGCATTACGTTAACATCAAGAAAAGGGAGCGAAGAATTGTTTTCAAGTCCATGTGTAAATTGAATATTTGAATGTTTGGAAATGAGATAAGAGAGGAAGGGAAGCACATGATCACGGGATTAAATGATCAGAAAACAATCATCAACATAACGACGATAAAACAAAGGTTTACAGTTAGAAGGGCAGTCAGCTAACTTTAAGCTACTCATAAGAACTTAAAATTATATCTGAAATTCTGTAATAAATAATAAATAATTAATATTTATCATACCATTAAATTTAATTAATTTAAGTCATCAATTTACATACATTTAAATTGATAAAAATATATAAATATATATTATTATGAATATGTAATCCTTATGCTCATATTAATTTTAATTCTATAAATGGTGTATTATATGTCTATAGAATTCTACTTTTTGATTTTAACAGGGCGAAAATGAACTGCTTTGCGGAAATCACTCGCTCATTACTAGCACATTGACGACCAACAGACCAACAATAAATGGACTAACTATTAACATGTCATTGATTCATTTCAATGATAATTCGGGAACCCCGTTAAAGGGATCCCTTTCGAATACCTATAAATGCCACATGGATTGCTAGTGATCTACCATCTCAAATCATTTTATTAAAAAATTGCCTTTGTGAATAACACTCTCAATCAAGAAGTGACAGCTATAGACGTTGGTCTGTATTCGAGAATTTTATTGAATATTAACAAAGTGTATGCTTTGAAGTAAACAGGTGTATAGCTCGAACCTAACAGTTAAAAAGTTCATCATCCTATAATTAACTGTAATTCTATATTAAACTGTTGAAGGATTATCTAAAAACGAATAATATACATTCTGGGAAAGATATTGGGCTTAGCATGTAATAGTTTAGAGAAAACCCTGACACAAAAAAGAAGAGCTTGGGAACGAGTTTGGACACATTTCACCCCTATAAAGCCGCATGCAGAAGAGGCTACATAATTTTTCATCATTTGTGAGCACGCCCCTACACTTTTGATAAGTTGTTAAACAATGCTCTTGACTTTATTGGATATGTTCGCGTTATACATATATCTGACTTGGGAAAAGCCGGCCTATGTTTTTATATCACCGACGTCAACAAGCATACCGTATGTTAATGTAATACAGCAGTTCAGTTCTAAAGCTGTCATGTTTGTTCTTATAAACCTTTCTATATGCCTACTTACAATTACCGATATATTACTCATTTGCATGAATAAGTTTGTAAGCTGCAAATTGGGCAGGTGTATCACGTTTATTGTAAACTTAACTTATTGCATATTACTGAACATAAATGAACTGACATTCAAAATAAAATATCCGAATTAAACGTTAATTTGAGACGCATATTTTATTATAATTTCCATATGTTCATCGTGCAGAAGGTCTATTTTGCTATTTTTCATTTATATTGTATGCTTAAATATTGAGACATTAAAAGCTTTTTTTTCTGTGTTGGTTTTATGTACTCAGGTGAATATGATGTTTGTGATATTACTCTGAGTGTATATCCACACCAGGCAAGCTAGCGCTTGAAAAATGGCCACGATGGGAAGCATTGGGCTAGTATTCCAAAGGTTTTAGGTTCGATTCCCACCGTGGCCAAGCATATTTTTCAAGCTTGCCCGGTGCGGATATGCGCTCAGAGTAACATCACAAACATCATTAAAAGCTTTGTCACAAGAATGGCCATTTAGATTTGCTTTGTTATTTTTCGATGGAAACGTATAAGTTTTTGTGATGATAAATATCACATGTGATGTGTGGCCATACTTAATTAATTAAAAGCGTGCAATTAAATTACGATATTATTTAGTTTTGAGATGCCTGGTGCATATATTACTGTTTTAAGTTATCCAGAAACTCAATTGATATCCAGTATAGAAGATATGTAATTTTAAAACAACAGTGTTTACATGAATAAAGAGCATTTGGGTTACTCCGCTTTACCGTGTCATATCCTTCTGTATCCTGTCCTGCATATAGAGATTATAAAACAGTAGAGTTGGGCATTGCAGAAAAAATTCAGGCAAACGAAAGGAACAAGTTGAAGCTGGCTAATGCGGGCTAATTTGATTTATACCCGGATGTAAAACAAAGAAAATGTATTTTTTCACCTTTTCCCTACAAATCAATTAGTATTCAATCCTAGTTTTATCAACAGTCCTAACTGTTTTACAATAATTTTGAGGCGAAAAATTTAGGAATTTCCGCCTTTTAGTAGTAGACCTCCTCCCCTAAGTTTATCAAGCCTCCTATATACGCACCTGAAGCACAATATTTTTCTTGCCCTTCAGATATTGTTATGAAAAATGTTTTTAGGCCGGCTTCAACTTGCCTATACTGAAAGGTTGCAGAAGAAAGTGACACATATCAAAATAAAAAATAAATTAAGTATTAATATATTTCCTTGTTTTCAAATGTCGTACACTACAAAATTTCATGGTATCTTAATATTTATACATTTCAGATCTAGATCATCATGTTGATTATGTTATATCAATTTAACTCAAAACGACGTGGAGCGCTCAGAAAATAAAGACCAGCTGTGGTACTCATATCCAGGACCTTAAAACGGATTTCCGTTGCCACGGTCATGATCTGAGATCGACCAAAAATTCACAAACTTTATTTAGGACTAAGTTTTTTAATATTACCATAGACAAATTTAGTAAGCTTGGCCCTTTGAACCCTGAAATTAAGTTTGGACCTACAATTTTTATTAAAAAGAAGCACTCCAGGCATTTTTTATTCAAAGGTATATTTGACCTTTTAAGTCAAATTAACTACCACAGATATTTAGAGTCAATGGATAAATCAATGTATTAATGGATAACCAATCAATCAATAAATCAATCTACAAATTCCCTAAAACTCCATGATCAAAAGTTCTGATCCGAATTTTTCTTTTAAACCTAAAATTCCTTTACAAGTGGCATGCAGGTTCATTATTTTCTATCTGTACAAGTCTCATCTTGGAAAAACAACCATCTACCTACCAGCCTGATAATATATGAAGATGTCTCGCTTGTTTAGCTTGCTACAAGAACTGTCTAATCAGGTTCCTTGCGGTCTCTCTTTCTTCTTGCGGCAAAGTTTCCAAAATGGGAACAATTTTTTGTCCAATCTTCCATATATAAGAGGATTTACTGAATGCGAACCAACAACTGTCAGAACCTTTGCCCAATTGAATAACCAAACGTATTTCATTAGGAAAGGATCTTCCTCATTCCTAAAGTAAGGTACACAGTCATGGGAATATTTCCAATTCCAAAACATAGGACGGTAATGAGACAAATAAAAAAAGTTCGTCGATTTCGGATAAATTTCAGGATACTGGAGGAAGACCCAGAAGCACTTCGTTTCCCTGGATTTGAACATACGTTTTTCATGTATCTGTTTTGTTTGATCACTTCTCGACCTATTTTATAATAAACTACAGCCATAAATATTGTTGGGAAAAAGTAAAAGCATGATATGACGTAACCATAACAAACTTTATTATAAACAATTGCGACATCGTTCCATTGCATGAAACATAGCGGCAGATATGTTGCATAACCTGCAATGAAACCAACAATGTACACCAAGCCACAAATGACTTTCAATTTCCGTCGCCTGACGTCAGGTTTTAAAGGATGCACAGTAGCACGATAACGAAGCACTGAAATGATCAACATCATACTTATTCCTGCGACTCGAAAAACGAAATATATGTAAAAGAAAACACAATACTTGGTGGAATAAATATCGAGGCGATCTTCGACAAAATGCAAGTTGATATGATCGAAAAGGAAAATTATCAGTGGCCCCAAATCACATA